GACGAATCAACAGTTTACATAGAGACGAACCAACAGTTTACATTGAGACGAATCAACAGTTTACATTGAGACGAACCAACAGTTTACATAGAGATGAATCAACAGTTCATATTGAGACGAATCAACAGTTTATATTGAGACGAATCAACAGTTTACATTGAGACGAATCAACAGTTTACATAGAGATTGTAATTAAAAGACACTAAAAATAACGTTGTTTTTTTTTGTTGTTGTTGTTTTTCTCAAGCAACAAGAAGCAGCGGCAGATTTAGCCCTCGAGATGAGCGAACCGGCTGAGCCAGCAGGACAGATCCAGTTCAGTTTAGAGTTTGATATATATTCGTCTGTTCTGACTCTGAAGATTATTCAAGCCAAGGGGTTGCCGGCTAAAGACGTCACTGGTACGATAAAAATCATCTGTTGGAAATGAAAGTTTAACTTCGCTCTGTCGGCACCACCTGTGGGAGAGTAATTCACTATATATATCAGATATAAGTAACCTTTACTTTGAGTGTTGTGTACTGTCTAAAAAACAAAACAAAAACTATGATCACAATAAAACGTTAGAAATGTGTTTCGTACACCAGTTATTTTAGATCAACTAAGCCAAAGTCTAAACTGTCCGTTTCCAAAGATATCAAACTTTAACAAACGACGTAGGAAGCTAGGCCTAATTTGATGCAGTGGAGGCCAAGATAAGGCGGAAATCAGGGAATAGCCAGAAGAATAACCAATTTGATTTACTTCCATTGTATTACATTTCTTACATTAACCTCTTATCTCATTTGTTTGACTCTTTATCTTATCTGCTTTGGTCTTTATCTCACTTGTTTGACTCTTTATCTAAGTTGTTTTACTCATTATCTCACTTGTTTGACTCTTTATCTAAGTTGTTTTACTCATTATCTCACTTGTTTGACTCTTTAGCTAAGCTATTTTACTCATTATCTCACTTGTTTGACTCTTTATCTAAGCTGTTTTACTCATTATCTCACTTGTTTGACTCTTTATCTAAGTTGTTTTACTCATTATCTCACTTGTTTGACTCTTTATCTAAGCTGTTTTACTCATTATCTCACTTGTTTGACTCTTTATCTAAGCTGTTTTACTCATTATAGCACTTGTTTGACTCTTTATCTCATCTGATTTACTCATTATCTCACTTGTTTGACTCTTTATCTCATCTGATTTACTTCTTACCTTATCTAAGTTGTTTTACCCATTATCTCACTTCTTTGACTCTTTATCTCATCTGATTTACTTCTTACCTTATCTATTTGACTCTTATCTTATCTATCTCGCTCTTTATATCATCTGTCCGACTCTTTATCTCATCTGTTTGACTCTTTATCTCATCTGCTTGGCTCTTTATCTAAGTAGATAGGTAATATATTTCAAGTTCATGTACAGTTATTGTTGTTTTGTAATGTTGCTATGTAATGGAAGATTTATCGTTGTAAGTCTGTAAACGTTACAGATATTTGCTTAAAACCACTTTGGTAGTTTTCGTGGATCAAAATGGATCTGGTTGGTCACAAAGCATGAGATCCACTCGCTAGCACGCTGGGGTTTCAACACTTTGCACGTTTTTCTTGTGTAATTACAATAATAATATATAATACAATACAACATTATTATATAAGTTTTATTTTCAGGTGAAATGTCTAACTTTACAATAACCACGACAATCCTCTTTCTATAATAGTTCCCCTTCTAAGACAGTTCTAATTATACTACAGTCCTTCTAAGACAGTTCTAATTATACTACAGTCCTTGTAAGACAGTCCTAATTATACTACAGTCCTTCTACGACAGTTCTAATTATACTACAGTCCTTCTAAGACAGTTCTAATTATACTACAGTCCTTGTAAGACAGTCCTAATTATACTACAGTCCTTCTTCGACAGTTCTAATTATACTACAGTCCTTCTACGACAGTTCTAATTATACTACAGTCCTTCTTCTACGACAGTTCTAATTATACTACAGTCCTTCTTCTATGACAGTTCTAATTATACTACAGTCCTTTACGACAGTCCTAATTATACTACAGTCCTTCTACGACAGTTCTCGTCCATGATAATCATCCTTCTGTGAGAGTCGTCCATATACACTAATCTTCTTTCTACGACGGTCCTCGTCCACGATAACCATTCTTCTACGAAAACCCTCCTCTGAGGGTTTAATTAATCTATATCTCATTCCATTGACAACCTTAATAATCCATATTTCATAGTTATTCACTATCCCCCGATGGGACAGCGGTAAAATCCGGGGTTCGTTTCCCTGCGGTAGACACAGAAGATAGCCTAATGTGGCTTTGTTCTAAAACACACAGTACAAGAAACGAGCAATTGAGTGACTTAGGAGATACTTGCAAGAGAGTAAAGTACTTATTTAAAACACACAAGGTATGTTGTTAAATATTAAAACAGTTTTTATTTCCCGGGCGTGTATTTTTTGTGTTTCTTTCGAAGGTTCGTTTCATACGTTATTATATTTATTTATTTTCAAGTATTTCAGTCTAAAGAAAAAAATAAATACGAGTCTTCACACTAAAAACAGAGAACTTTCTTGCACGTTAAAAAATTCAGAACCAATTTGATCCATTCGTGTTTTAAAGAAAGGTTTCCTGTAACAATAACATCCTAGTATACGTAGCAGTAAGTATATAGATTACCGTTACATAAATGCATCTTTCATTACAGCTGTAATGGGTTATTTGAGTTGAAGCGAGTTGTTATGATTATGACGGTATATTTCATTATAATGAAGTCTGGATTTGTATTACAAAAACTTTACATTACTTTTATATTTACAGCTCGAGGTTTAAAAGTAATGAAATTTCTTTTAAAAATAAGGAAATCGCTTTTATCAATATTTTTAAACAATAAACCCCTTTTTTGTTACTGAAAATCTCTTTTCATGCTACTTTTCAAAGTTCCCACGATTTATTCAGATACAAAGCTTCTACGACAAATTTACATACGTAGTCTCGATACCAGGATAAGTCTGTAGAATGTGTGCAAGTTTAATAAAGTTCTTAAATCTCGATACACTCTAGATGTGAGCTACGTTTGTTGTTGTTTTTTTTTAACAGGAACTAGCGACCCCTATGTGAGGATTTGTTTGCTTCCAGACAGAAAACACAAGCTTGAGACCAAAGTTAAACATCGAACTTTAAACCCTCGTTGGAACGAAACATTTTACTTTGAGGGTAACCAGTTTTACACATCCTAGCGATACAACATAGTCTATATACAGAATAAATTATCTAATGTTACCAGTCGTATAGTGTTATTATAGCTGGAATATATATATATATTATTTAATGTTGCAAACTAATAAAAAACAGTTTTTATTCGAAATATTTTAAGCTATATTATATAAATCCTATAAAACACGCCCAATATTATATACTGTAACCAGGTTTTGAATATTAATAATCTCTTATACAAGGTTGTACAATGTTCTATAACTACATAGTAACTAGTTTCTAATAACTTAAAATGAAAGCCTGAAAAAAATAATTAAAAAACTCGGTGACAATACTAACATAAATCTCAAATTACTGTGAGTGTACTTTGTATACAGCTCTGAGAAACCACGTGTAAATAATCCACTCTGTAAATAATCGATTTTACATCTTTTGTCCTTATAAAAAAGCTATGTGGCTAAGCCTAATGAGGATGTATCTCATGTATATATATATATAAAAGCTATGTGGCTAAGCCTAATCAGTATGTATCTCATGTATATATATATATATAAAAGCTATGTGGCTAAGCCTAATGAGGACGTGCCTCATGTATATATATACATATATAAAGCTTTGTGACTCAGCCTAATAATGGTGTATAGATTGTTCTAGAATATATATAAAGAGAATAGAAATAGAAATATAATCTGCACGTCTAATTTAAAATCATAAGGTTACACATTGACAGACTTACGTCCCGATTTAAGATTCTCATAAGATCAAATTGTTAGTTAGTGAAACAACTCAAAGCTGCTATCTATGGCCCTGTCGGACAAAATAGCAACTAAAACTCGATACCTTGCAGGTTATCCTCTCGCCAAGCTCCAGAAGTCAATCCTTTACTTACATGTCTTCGATTACGACCGCTTCAGTCGTGATGATCCAATAGGAGACGTTTATCTTCCCCTTTCCCAAGTGGACTTCACCAAGAAGCCTTGTTTGTGGAAGTGTATCAGAGCAGCGGAAGACACGAAGGTGAGGAGTGTTAGATCTTTTACAGAAAAATGGTAAAATAAGTTAACCTTAAAATACGTTAAACGTTAGAAACAAAACCAGGTTAGGAAGATTCGAAGCATTAAGCAAGTATTTTACAGTTTACTTTTAGCTACTATTTAACAAAAGTAACACAGCAGAATAAACAACAAGAACCTGTTGTTATAGTTACACTTAGTTTAATCTCACTGCAGGACGGTCTGATACTAGCTCAACAACTATAGATAGATTGGTCCAACTTAAAAACAGAGCAATGGGATACTGAATATATGCGCATTCTCTCCTTCGTGGGTGGTTTCAGACACGGGGACATTATCTGTTGGTACAGACACAGGGACATTATACCTCGGTTCAGACACGGGGACATTATCTGTTGGTACAGACACAAGGACATTATACTTCGGTTCAGACACGGGGACATTATCTGTTGGTACAGACACAAGGACATTATACCTCGGTTCAGACATGGGGACATTATCTATTGGATCAGACACAGGAACATTAT